GGCGGCGGTTGGGGCGGTGGTGGGGGTTGGGCGAAGGTTGGGGTGGTGGTGGGGGTTGGGCGACGGTTGGGGCGGCGATGTGTTAAGGATTGTAGTAGGGTTTGTCGTTAACGGGCTCATTCTTGTTGGGCTCGTAATTAGGTCATAGTCTTGTAGCTATTATAAATAGCGGATTTATGTGTAATCAAATCATTCAAGTTTTGTTCTAATAATAATTCTACATGGTATCGGAGCCAACCTGGGAAGCTAAAAGTCCAAAACCCTAGTTTGCTCTACTTTGTTGCTTCCGTTGTCGCCGTCGCCGATGGTTTGTCCGGCGACGGCGGCGTCACCATCTTTTCCCTTCACCTTGTTTTCCCGTCCTTTTTTTTTGTCTGGATCTTGCGGTGCCGCACGTTGCTGACAATTAAATCTGTCAATCAGCTTCCGTCGTTTGTTGCCAATCGCCTCTGTTATAGTCTCGCAGGAATTGCTTCATTCATTTGGCCGCCTCAAAGTTTCATTCAACTAGCCGCCATCAAACTACTCATTCACTACGAGTCATTTATAATCAATTGGCTAGTGTTTGGCTATTTGTGTTTCTTTGGTTCTGTTCGTTGTGCATGGTGGGTTTTAACAACAACTTAAATTATTGGTGTTTGGAAGTTATTAAATTGGTATTGGTTTGATTTGTTCCTACTCCACGGAAGAAGGTTTTTATGTTCACTCCACCGTCCATCGAAATTTGATGACGTTTTTGGCGACATTGTTTTTGGTTGTTATTTGGTATGTTCAAGTGCAATCAGCTGTATGTTCGGCATATTTGTTTGTGAGGTTGGTCGCATAGTCGCGCCTCAGACCGACATATCAATTTGTGAGGTTGGTTGCATAGTCGCGCCTCAGTCCGGCAACACGGCCTCCAAGTTTGTGATGTCTGTTAGTCGTCCCCGTGTCACCGCGTGGGAGTCATTCGTCATCAAAATTTATTGTTCGTTTGCAGGGCCGGTCACCTTCGTTCGCTGTTGTCACAACAGATCAAGTTCAAGTTCTTTATCAATTTTTCTAGTCTTAGTTTTGTTTTAATTGTCCAAGTTGTGCATTCCTTAATCTCATGCTCAACTTGAGGGGGAGTCTTAAGGAATGTAGTAGGGTTTGTCGTTAACGGGCTCATTCTTGTTGGGCTCGTAATTAGGTCATAGTCTTGTAGCTATTATAAATAGCGGATTTATGTGTAATCAAATCATTCAAGTTTTGTTCTAATAATATTTCTACACGATGGGGGTTGGGCGACGGTTGAGGCGGTGGTGGGGGTTGGGCGACGATTGGGGCGGCGGTGGG